AAGAAACTTACAGAAGTCGTCCAATCATTTTTGTTCCTAACTAATATTTGCATATTCTTCAAGATGAAATTCATGGATTGAAGGTTGTGACACTAGGAGAATTAATTGTTCTTTATTACAATCACACTGATGCTCGTCGCAAGTGTATCTATTATATATTGATAGAGCAATTATGCCGATAATTGAAAATTAGCTGCAATTATTTAAAGACAAAAGTGTAGAAACCAATTTGGAAATGACATTTTTTCTTTCGACTTCAATGAGACGATTTTATTAGAGACATATATGGATCCAGTCGGAAAGATTCCCTTCGAAAAATTTGTAATGATATAGATAAGAAACTATTGTCAGTTAATTATATTTTAACAACATATTCTTTTATTGTCATATATCTGAATATTGTCGTAATTTTACATTTTAATTAGACCAAAACATAGATAGTTAATAATATTATTCTCTCTATACAGTTGGAATCGACTTTCTGATATTTTTCAAAATCTTAGTATATTTAATTGCAAGATTTTTTTTTTATTTGCTTACGATAGCTCAAAAAATTTAACAATAAAAATAATAATATCATCAACTATGATGAATATATTGAAAACTGAAGTCACTGCCAAACCAACATTAACTTCACAAAGAAAGATGACAACTGTGTCATTACTAAGAACAATATTTGCACATGTATAGTCATCATCGATATTTTTTTCTATCACAGATGTCAACAGTACATCAAATGACAAGACAAACACAAGTACTATTTCAATTAACCTTCTAAATCTAATACTTACTTTCTTATTATAAATTTGAATATTAATCGAGATTTGAAATATAAAAATTTATTTTCATTGAATTAAATTAAATACTCAAACTACAATATGATTGAACAAAAAACAAACTATCTAATGACATAAAATAATTCTTCCATTTTAAATTCATAAGATTAAGAACATCCTTTTCGACATCTAAAGTTCATATTCATATAAAAGCCTTTAGAATATATTACATAAAGTTCATTAACTATGCATGTCATACTATTCAATACACAAAGGACATTTCACTCACAAACAGAACAAAATTATCGAGAAAATTGTATTTTTAATCATTTATAGAAGGATACACATTTTATTGCATAATATGACCCTTGAAGAACAAAAAACTATTATATGTCGCATTGGAACTAGAAGTTGTTTTTTTGTAAAAGACGTCCTGTGCAACAAGAGTAATAATGTTGTATTCAGTCAGAGTAAAGACTTCAAAAAGAAAAAGTATTCTTTGTGTTTATTCTGGATGATAATATAATTTTATTTATTTTCCTTGAAACGTATACAAATGTAATAAAA